TACAACCGAGGAATGCAGCAAAGCATTTGTGAAGCCACAACACGCACAACCTTGAGGCGGATGGGCTACAGCAGCAGAAGACCTCACCGGGTACCACTCATCTCCACTACAAATGGGAAACAGAGGATACAGTTTGCACCAGCTCACCAAAACTGGACAGTTAACCCTTTGATGCATGAATTATGAAATCTTCAACCATGATTTTTGTAACTTTTTTTTCATTCATCTTTAGGTGTGAATAAAACAATTTTCAACAAATATTTTTAGTAAATTTTTATAATTTACTAATAATTTATTACATGTCCACCTCAGTGGACAGCGTGCATTCTGAACATGAAATATGTTGGCTTGAGTTACTGAAGTCCAAATGGAGGGGCTCAAATGCAATAAAGTCTTAAACAGCTGTGCTTAATAGCAAAAATAAATAAATTCTAATTTTGAATACCTGTCCACTGTAGTGACCATTATGCATTAAAGGGTTAATGACTAAAAAATGTTGCCTGGTCTGATGAGTCTCGATTTCTGTTGAGACATTCAGATGGTAGTCAGAATTTGGCGTAAACAGAATGAGAACATGGATCCATCATGCCTTGTTACCACTGTGCAGGCAGGTAGTGGGGGTGTCATGGTGTGGGGGATGTTTTCTTGGCACACTTTAGGCCCCTTATGGGCCATTCCCATCTGTACCGGGTCGGCCCGGGCCGGGTAGCGTAGGTTGTTTACATATCTGGGTGGCCTGGTATTTTTCCGGGCCAACCAAGGCTCATTCTCAGTCCTCTTCTCGAGGGGGTCTGCTTCAGGCCGACCAGGGCCAACACGCCCACTGCTGACAGCAAATTCACACCTTCCATTAGAGCAAGCCTCTGATTGGTGGGTAGAATCAGCCCACATGGGCTTAAGGCAAGGATGTGTGGAATCAACCGGGCCAGGCTGGGGCCGACTGGGGCTACCCGGCCCGGGCCGACCCGGTACAGATGGGAATGGTCCAATAGTCCCACTTGGGCATGGTTGAAATGCCACGGGCTACCTGAGCATTGTTTCTGACCATGTCCATCCCTCCATGACCACCATGTACCCGTGCTCTGATGGCTACTTCCAGCAGGATAATGCACCATGTCATAAAGCTCCAATCATTTCTAACTGGTTTCTTGAACATGACGATGAGTTCACCGTACTACAACGGCCCCCACAGCCACCAGATCTCAACCCGATAGAGCATCTTTGGGATGTGGTGGAAGGGGAGCTTCGTGCCCTGGATGTGCATCCCACACATCTCCATCAGCTGCAACATGCCATCCTCTCAATGTGGGCCAACATTTCTAAAGAATGCTTTCGGCTGTTTGTTGAATCAACGCCACGTAGAATTAAGGCAGTTCTGAAGGAGAAAGGTGTTCCTAATAATCCTTTATGTAGATCATAAATGAGCAAGATAAGTTTAAATAATTATACATAAAAAGTAAACATTAAATCATTCCTTCAGAGTCAATTAAAATGCTGAACATCACTGCAGCTGTATTTTTGGGCCCGTTCTTAAATGGTTTCAAGCATTTAAAATGCTGCACAAGTGGAGTTAAATCAGTGCGATCAACCCCATCGTTCTGATTGCTGCACTTAAAAATTAACTCCTGTGGTCCGATGCCGATGTCGTCCATGAGCACAGGGAACGGGGACGTGTTGTCTAACTGCATTTGGCTGAATCTGAGCCGAGAATCTCCCCGATCATCATTTTGCTCCAGACACGTCGATAAACACCAGTGACCCGGTGCCACTGGGAAGCAGGCGTGTCATCCCTACGCCTAGTCACGTCTTACGCATGATGCCTCAACACCATCAGCCGTTCGAAGTGTTCTCCTTTACTTTTTGCTTCCCATCATTCTCGTGCAGGTGGACTCCATCTCACCTGTTAATATTTGGTCTGATCTCCGCTTTTCCGGTTTATGGAATATCTTCCTGATGGTGAACTCGCTCTGATGTCTGAGAACACACCACCAAATGGTTTCAACTTTAGCAGAGTGCCCCGTTTAAACGGCACCGAGTCGTTCTGATCCTCTCCTGTGAGTTTTTACAGCAACGCCACACTCGAGATGAACTCCGGAACATTTGCTTGTTTAAATGATGACAAAGGGAAGCCCGGGAATAGCTTTAGAGTTCAGCTTATGAATGAATAATGGATTAACAGGATCCTAACGCCAATAATCCAGATATGTACAAATGTGTTACCAGATCTCATTTATGAAGAAGAAAATATCATTTCTATAGCGCCTCTCAAGATTAAAATCACGAGGCGCTTCACAAAAAAAAATGTAAAAATATAAAAAAGAATTTAGAAAATGTTTAAAAATATATTTAAAATGAGCAAAAATAGAGAATTGCGATTAAAAAAAAGTTAAGAAAGAGAGAGTGAACAGGAAAGAGGGAAATCAGTGGATCCTGAGGAAGGTGGAATAGGTGGGGAGAGCAGAATAAAGAGAGAGAGGTGAAGAAGGTCATACAAAAGCCAGCCTGAACAAGTGAGTCTTCAGCTGCTTTTTAAAGGAGACCACTGAGTCCACTGATCTCACCCCCAAATTCCACTACCTCCGCTCCGCTCCGGTCCGCCCCCGCCTTCCGCAGCCGCTCGCTTCCGAACTCAATTTTTACTGGTACCCGCTCTACAACGGCTCCGCTCCGATGCGGAGACCTGAGGGGGGCAAACAAGCATGCGCGGGATTTTCGAGATCTTGCGATACAGTCCGAGCAATAAACGCGGAAGTTAGATCCAAACACCCGTTGTGCGGGAGAAGCATCGGAAATGAGCTGTTTAATCTGCCCATCATTTGTGTTGAGAGATCAGCAGTGTTTGGATCAACAAAGTGTGACTACTTTGATAGTGGCAACTGTATTTATGGCTTATTTTTGTGCATTTAAACTTCAGCCGCCATTGATAGTTGTTAAAAGTTGTTAAACCTGTGCATATGAAACAAAAAACGCCTTTTGTTTAGCGATTTATTGTGAAAAACGGAAGTTGTGCTTGCTCCTTTTCCTGTTGGGCCGTTGTGAATTCTGTCCATTTACTGCGGAGGTGCTCCGGCGTCCGGCAAAAATAGGATCGATTCTATTTTTGCCGGACGCCGGAACAGAGGGCGCCGCACGGCGCCGCACTGCCGGAGCACGGCCGCAGTAGTGGAATTGCTCTGATTGACTAGAACGGGACCGATTTTGCTCCGGCGTTCGTGTCGGAGCGGAGCGCAGCGGAGCGGAGGTAGTGGAATTTGGGGGTCAGGCTCAGGGGGAGAGAGGTCCAGAGTCTGGGGGCCACAGCAGCAAATGATCTGTCACCTTTGACCTTTAGCCTGGTGCTGCACAACCAGTAGGCTTTGGTCACTGGACCTCAGGGACCTGCTGGGGGTGTAGGGACTAAGAAGATCACCAATGTAAGATGGTGCTTGTCCATGTAAGGCCCTGTAGACCAGAACCAGGATCTTGAAATGAACCCTGAAGTTGACTGGCAGCCAGTGAAGCTGGAGGAGAAGCGGGGTGATGTGGGTGTGTTTGGAGGACTTGGTCAGAAGCCGAGCACAGGCGTTCTGAACCACCTGTAGACGGTTCTGGGAGGTTCTGCTCAGACACGTGAAAAGAGAGTTACAGTAGTCTAAGCATGAGGAGATGAAGGTGTGGAGAACTGTCTCAAGTTCAGAGTGGGACAGAATGGGACTCAGCTTAGCAACGTTCCTGAGATGGAAGAAGGAAGAGCGAACAAGAGAACTGACATGAGAATCCAGGGTGAGAGCTGGGTCAAAGGTCACGCCAAGATTCCTGACAGAAGGGTTGGTGTGGGAAGCAAGCTGACCAAGAGAGTCTCTGACTTTGGGAACCAGCTTGTCTGGGGCACAGATGAGGATCTTATGTTGCAAACTATCACAATTGATCCTATTTAAACATTGAGAGTTGATCAGAAACTCGATTAAGAACAAAAACAATCTATTTCTGTATTTGTTTTTATAAACTGAAACTCATTGTCAAACAAGAGGGCTGAAACCAAAACCTGCAAACATTTGCGAGTTCTTATCCTCAAAAAACTAAAGATTAACATTTTAAACCCGAATCGCCTTTCGCTCAGCTCTAAAATAAATACCTGAGAAAAGGATTAAAAACGGGCATTTTGTCTTCGGCACATCAGGAAAAGACTTAAATACTGCAGGCTTCACCGGAGCATCAAAGTCTTCCGATCCCACCGCCAGCCTAAACATTTTAGTTACACGTCTGTTTGTGAGTTTTCCGCTCCAGTGTTAAGGCAGCAGGTACGATGAAAAGCACTCAACGTGAACATCAGCTCTCAACTTTTGTCGGGGAGAGGAGAAAATAAAAAGGCACGTTTTTATTGACTGGCTGCTTGTTGACTCTTTGTGGAAAGATTTTAAAAAGCGGCCGAGTTCTCGGCACGAGCTCGCCGTTTCTCTCTCTCACTCTGAAAAAAACGCTGCCATTTTCCTGTTTCGGCTAACCCGCACAATCAGCACTTCTGCTTCTGCGACATGAAAACAAAGTAAGGGTGAGTGCCTCTGCCTGTGCGTGGTCTGAACCCCCCATCGGCAGTCGCTGGGTGGGAGACGGCCATAAACCAAGCCTTGGGAGCCCGTAATGGCCTCTTCCCATTCAGACGCAAAGTGGATCTTTATTTTTGATAACTATGAAGCTAGAGCTGGGTGATTCCTTTACATTACTCGCCACTGCACAATTCTACATCTCAGTTAAATCATCATCCTCAGTATTACTGTATTTAATCACGGCTGATGGGCGATCGATAACATACGGTGCAACGTATTATCAGAACGTTAAAGCCGATTTATCCGCACCAGCCATCTGAAGGTGGCCAGTGTCTGCTTCTTGGTGGCTCGTGTTTGTTTTTTTAGAAGTGAAATGGCAGAAGTGGCGATTTACAGCAGGGTTTATGAAGTCCACCCCATCAACCGGAACGGGGCGCTGCCCCCAGCTCGTGAAAAGATGAACGCTTACACGTGTGAGAGCCGAAGCGTTTTATTATCTGGAAAGCCGACCCGAGTGTTTCCCACACAAACGGGGGCTGCACAAACACTGGTAAATACCCAAGGGCCAACTTTATTAGTATCTCATTTTAATACATCAACTAAATAAAAACCTAAAGTTTTTTTTAGCACGTAAAACTTTAGGTAGTTTTTTTGGCATTGCTGCAAAATTGATGAAAGGATGAAGGAAACTAAAAGGTAGTCCTTCTGATCCAGTGCTAGAGTTAGTGTTGTTACTGGAGCACCTTCACACCGTCTCCTCTACGATGAACTCGATGGCGTGTTGTGGTGACTGACTCGTTTCCACCATGGTGATTTCGTTGTCCTCGATGGAGATGGTGGGCACGCCTATGCCCTGAGCTCCCAGGACTGAGGAGGGCAGGATGACGACCTGCGAGGTCCCCTCCAAGCTGCTGAGATGATCCGACGGGATCATCACCGTCTCCGTGCCGGCATCGCCTTCCTGCAGTACGTAGATGGTCTGCACGGTGCCGGAATCCATCTCCTCTGAGGCGGCCAGAGAAGACAGTACCTTGGCCCCCTCCAGCACCTTCTGCACGTGGGCCTCCTCAGCGGCCTGGGCCACCTGCTCGATGGTTTCTGGAGGAATGTCCCTGTGCATCCGCATGTGTTTATCCAGGTTGGGGCGGGAACGAAAGGCGGCGGCGCAGTGAGGACACGGGTAGGGCTTCTCACCGCTGTGGGTGCGCGCGTGCTCGGTGAGCCGGGCGGCAACGCTGAAGCTCTTCCCACAGATCCAGCAGCAGAAAGGTCGCAGACCAGAGTGGATCCGCTCATGGTCCTGCAGGTGGGGCAGCTGGCGGAAACGCTTCCCACATGTGGAGCACTGAAGGGAGGTAAACAAAATATAGATTTGCTGATGATTTAAAGACAAGTCCGCTCTTTTTTTAAACACATCTTCAGCGGTCACTGAATAAATGCCTTGTGAGTTCATCTATGTGGGGAAAAAAAGCTGTGGCGCTCCTGTTTCAGGAAGTAGAAGTTACCCAGAGCAGAGGCAAGCAGAACAAGGCACGTTTTTGTCTTACTTCCTGATACTCTGACATCTCGCCTCTGATTGGCTAACAGCAACGCCACTCTACTACTGACTGTTTTGCAAAGTTGATGTTTTATCTCCACAAAAACAAAAGTGTGAAGGAGTTCTGCTGTGTGGTGGAGTTGCCAATGCTAACGGTTAGCTTCTACTAGCCGAAACGTGCTGTGCTCTTGGAATTCTACAATATGATGTCCAAGGAAGGTCCCGCCTTTCTCGCCTCTGATTGGCTGGAAGGGCTCTACTATGATTGGCTATTTCGTGTAAGAGGAAACAGTTTTCCCTCGCTGCAGGTTTTTATGTTTACAGCCAGATCTTGAGGAGTTTTTGGAAGAAAAATGTGAACTCATCGCTATAATAAACATCCTTTCCTGTTTAGCAACAAACCAGGTTCAGTTTCTTTCATAAAAGAGCCTGAAAAAAAATCAAATATGAACTTGTAATAATTCTTGTAGCACTTTATCACACTGTAGACCGACTTTATATCTGTTGGCTGTATTGGGATTATCTTATTACTTCATTATTAGGCTATCCTGCTTTAATAGGTTTAGGCTGTTCACAAGTTAGAGCACATCTCTCATCATCAGATTAAATGTGTATCATTTAATCAAAAATGAAGTTAAAGCTGATTATGATTTAGACCTATTTTTCACCAGTTTTCATTATTCTAGAGAAGAAGCAGACCTGATGCACACAGCTGGGCAGAATAGGGCTGTTTTATTAAATGTCATACCCAGGTAAGGCACATGTGTTTATCCTGTGTACTCTAAAGCTGGGCAGACACTGTGCGTCTTTTTCACTCGTAGCACTCAGCTTCAGCTCAAACTGTACGACTTCCTCGCAGGGCAGATCTCACGAGCCATGTGCTCACACTGTACGTCTGGTAGCAACACGTCGGACCTAAAAATATGCTAAAAATAGCAGTTTTTTTCACGACACGTCAGACTTTTTTGTCTTGCCTGTTGTCCTTCGGGAGTGCTGCAGGAGGACACACAGGGATTTGTGGGGGTTGGATGAGGAAAACGAAATAAAGAAAGTAAATCTGTGTTTTATGATCAGTTTAATTTGAAATGAACACGACAAACACGCTTTCTTGACAATCTTTGTGAGTAAAAAAACGTGTAGAAATAAAAACGAACAGCGTGTGTTATTAGGGAAATAGCGGGCGAGCGGTGTTGATGCAGGATTGCACATGCGCCGTGAGCGGTTCTGATACTTTTTGGGTCGCAGCGCCGCTTCAACAGTGCGATACCCTCACGAGGGATGAGCAAAATATCAAACACGCCAGAAGTCCGTGCGAGCTCACGATTGCTGATCGGTAGCTGGTCACGTGGTGTTAATCGCCTCTCGTAACCCCCGGTACACTACACGACGCTCAGCGCTAAACTCGCCCCGATCTCGTGGATTCTCACACGAGTGGAAAATCGGCTCAAAAAAGTGAAAAAGTCGCACAGTGTCCGCCCGGCTTAATGCTTCAGAGCCAAGAGATATAAACTAGGTCCGACATTTTTCAGTTTTTTTTATGAAACATTAAACATAAAATGTTTAGCAAACCAGGACAGAATGTTTATCGTAGGGCTAAGTTCACATTTTCTTTACTAAACTCCCCAAAACAGCTTTCTGCTGGTGGCAGAAGGACACAGTCAGCACTTAGCGAGGACAGCCAGTTTGCTGTTAAATGAAATAGCCAATCGTAGTAGAGCCTTTCTAGCCAATCAGAGACGAGAAAGGCGGGATCTTCCTTGGACATCCTAGAATTCCAAATGACTCCTCCTGGAAGCTAAAACAGCCGTCTCTGTTGCGAGTCAAGATGGATGAGTCCATGAACGCTAAATTATAGTGTCAAGTAGAGACTGTCACACATGCTTTTGTTCTTTCAAGGCTCGACTACTGCAGTGCACTGTATGCCGGCCTTAGTCAGGGTGCGGTAGCACGCTTGCAGTTGGTACAAAACTCAGCCGCTAGGTTCGTGACAGGCACTAGGCGCAGGGAACATATCACCCCTGTGTTGGCATCCCTTCATTGGCTGCCTGTGCAATACAGGGCAAAATTCAAGGTCTTGGTACTGGCATACAAGGCCTTACAAGGAACTGCTCCAGCATATCTTGGCAACCTTTTGCATGCCCCCTCGCGGGCCCTTCGCTCAGCCGGCAGGGAGCTGTTGATCGTTCCACGCACTAAGTGCAGGTCACGGGGGGACCGTACGTTCTGTGTTGGCACCTGCACTTTGGAACCAGTTGCCTTTGGTGGTGCGTCAGTCACCCTCATTGGGGGTTTTTAAGACTCGCCTTAAGACCCTTTTTTTTGTCAGGGCTTTTCAGGATTAGCAAATTTTACCCGGTTTCGAAGCCCCGGCATCTTAATCTTTTTCAGGATTTTATTTTTTGCTTTTACTCTCTTTTAATTGATTTTATGCTGGTTTTACGATTGTTATATTTTATTCTGATGGTTTTACGTTTTTATTGTGTTGTGTTCAGCACCTTGGGCGTCTGCATTGGTCGCAGAAGGGGCTTTATAAATAAATGAAATGAAATGACGTAGATCTGACCGTTTTTTTTAATCCAAGTGTTTTCCCATTTTCTATGGGCGGCTGAAGCAGGAAATAGGGGTAGAAAAAAGGGTTTCTCAGTGACTGTGTCAGGGTTTTACATACGTAATAAACATTTGACCTGTAAGGAACAGAGCCTGTTCATTAATGTTCTCTATAAATAATCAATTACTAACTAACTGTTTGTTAGGGTGAATCAATTACAAGGAGCTTCATTAGTTTTCCAACATGAAGCGTGTGAGCAGAAACTTGAACCATTTCTAAGGTAATCAGCTTTTCCACGGCTGCCCGTTTTCTGCCGTTTACTCTGAAAGCTGACGATGATTTACGACTAAACACCTGATTATACCCGACAGAGACACCGAGCTTCGCTTAGATTATCTCTGGGAACAATCAGGATGAAATTGTAATCTGATAAATTAGCAGTTCAAGTATCTCTAAAGCTTAAACAATCCCCGTGTGTTTGTTCTATAATTATTAAGCAAATCTTTGTTCTTCGGGGAGCAGAGTTTATATCATAAATCATTAAATTCCTGAGCATAACGAAGTTTACGTCTGACAGAAACGGAGAAACAAAGATTAAATCTTCACTTTAAGTCGGCGCGCTGAGATGGAGTAGGGTGGGTTGATGTCCTGCTCCGTCACAAGAGCAGCAGAGAGACGGAAAGCATCCCAGAATAGAAACGGACACAGAGGGGAGCTGACAGGCCCCAAGTCAGTGCTGTCATTAATCACAGGTACACGGGGAGATAGGAATCGCCCCACGGACACAAGCTGCATAAACGTCCAAGGTGGGGGACTGGAGAACTATGATGTGTGTAAAGATCTCATATGAAGAGGAGAAAAACCGGGCTCTGACGACTAACAGAAAGTGACTTTTATATAAACACACACACACACACACCAACTCCTCTTACCTCAAAGGGCCTCTCATCGGTATGTGTCCTCATGTGGACAAGGAAGGTGGAATTGTAGGCAAACTCCTTCAGGCAGACCTTACAGCGGAAGCGGGGCCGGCTTTTGGACTTGGAGAGCGTCCCTTGGAAGTGAGCCAGCACGTGTTCCTCCAGGGTGCTGTTGCAGGTAAATCGGCGGCGGCAGGGCCTCACTGGGCATTTGAGAGGCGTCTGGCCCGTGTGGGACAACCGGTGGAGGTCCAGGCCCTCCTGGGTCATGCAGCGGTGACCACAAAGGTCACACTCGACCTGTGGGTGGGGTAAAGGCAGGATGAGACGAAACTGTCCTTGTGGTGAAACTGCCAGCTAGAGACATTTACTTTGATTCCAACTGTCCCCACCTGTCCAGTGGAACGTCCACGGCCCTGTCCCCGTCCACGGCCGACGTTCCTCTCTTCCTCTGCAACGGGACAGCGCTGCATGTGGATCTCCAGCACCGACTGGTTAATGAACTGAGACGAACAGTTGGGACATGTGGCTGGCTGCTTGTCTGTAATGGAACAGAATCAAGTTTAAGACACGCCCCCCTCACGTTAAAGCTGCAAAGTGTTTAAAAATCCGAGGAATGATTTAGGCGAGTGGATCGCTGCAGGCTTCTCCAACAATCCCACACGAGAAGCTTCGGCTCATTGAAGAAACACGTCCATCATTATGAACGCATGCAGAGCTCCACTGAACCATCAATCCCCAAAACAAGTGCGGCGTGTCCTTGTGTGAAGCTGAGCGTGGAAACATCTGGACGGCTGATCCACCTATGAAACGTGACTGTCGGTACACTTTTATAATAGATTCATAATGAATGAAACAGCAAAACATGTGTTGAATCCAGCTGTTAGGATCCGCTGACTCGTCCCTGTGGACGCCTTGGTGACTGATCCATGATAAATATTTCATTATGCTGTCGTGACTCATCCCAATGACATCCCAGCAATCCGTTCATGTCTGTCGTCTCCTCTCTCTCTTTAAAGGGACTTTATGGACTTTTGAATATTTACGCTCGTGATTGCCCCCTCAGGCCAGAAGCGTAACAACAGCTTCAATAGTAGGCTCATGCACGAGGCGCGCATGCTGTACGTGCGCACTCCTTAACGAAAATAACAGCTGAGACAGTCGTGTGTGTGTGTATGTGTGTGTGTGTGTGTGTGTGTGAGCGTGCATGCGTGCGTGTGTGTGTGTGTGTGTGGCCCGGAGGACAGGAAAACGTGCAGCTAATTAATTAAATAATTTGGTTCTGTACCTTTCTCTTCAGCACAGCCGACAAAGGTTTATGATGGGTCAGTCCTCCTGCATGCTCAGATCATTCCCTTCCCTTGCATGAAAAATTGTTCCAAAATGAAAGTTGAACCCACATCTTTTTTTATCTGTGAATTCAACGCCGTTCGGTGAGTCTCAAATAAAAATTTGGGCATCTTACTGTAAAAAAATATACCATTAATGTAAAAAAGAAACTCTTTTTAGTGGACAGCTGAACTAAACACTTTATTCAGTCTGTCATTAACAAGGCCTTTGATCTGAACTGGTCGTTTCTGATCATGAACTCATCACAAGGCAGCAGCTGAGCTATGATCTGTAAAATGGTTTGGCTGTTTTATTTCATCAGTTGGAGAATTTGTCCAAAAACCCATCCACTAATTGCTTTATCTCTTTACAGCCGGTGCCCCAGTTCCATTTTGGCAGAGTCACGAAAACTCACTGGGTTGCTCTAGAAAACCTGGCAGGGGGCGGTTGACACCGACGGTTCATCGGCTCGTCCAAAGGCCATGGCGCCAGTATCTTGCAATCTGCTAACCATCTGCACCGTGTAACCCATTAGTTCATCCTCTGTGCCCCCCCCCCCCCCACCCCCACCCCCACCCCCGGGACCCTCTAATTCAAGCTTTAATAAGGACAATCTCAGTTTACAGCCTTGGACTGATCAATAGATCAATCTCTCCTGTCATCTTTTGCAGAGGACACTCGTACCTCTGACCTCTGCTGGACGCTGACTGCTCAAGTGGAACTAATGAGGTTGCCATGCCAACAACCCCCTGATTAAGATGAAGTGTCAACATGTTGACCCAGTTCATTTACCCCCACCTCGTTTCTCAGCTCCACACGGCACACAAATCAATTACAAGTCGTTGACCTAATACATCAGAGGAACAACGAACATCTAGCTTGGTTGCACGCGTATAAATAAACGCACTAGGCCACCCGGGCAAACCCGTGTGTTCATTTATCAACAGCTTTGCATTAATCAATAGTAATTCAGTGTGTGCCGCACTGATAAGAACATCATCTCTAATCGGTTTCCATTACAGTGAGGAATGAGATCGGCTTTCATTTGCTTTCTTGTTAAGCACGTCATCATTTGTCAATTTTTCCCATCAGCCTGAACCCACTAATCAGGAACGCAGGTGAACGAGGTTACACGAGGAAGATGTGAGTTTAGAACAAAACACATTCTAACTCAGATTGCCAATTTAGCTCCGGCTAAACCAAACACTTTTGGTTGAATGGTATACGTGTGTCTAGGGATGGGTAACTTTGACATTTGAATCGACTCGGTCATAATTCCCAGTACCTAGGAATCGATACCGGTACTTAACGGTACCAATTTAGGATACTTTTGAGTGTTTAATATTTTAATTCTCTTTTATAATTAAATATATATTTCTCTCAATATATAACCATATTTGATAAATATCACGATTAATAACAAAGAACTGTTTGTATTTTAACATCATCCTTGTAGTTTTATAAGCTGATAATTAAACTGAAGCAAACATCTTAACTGTGAACTAAATTTACTGTGCATCTTCATTCCCTTTGCTGTCCTTTTTCATTTGATTTTTCCTACTGGGAAGTTAAGAATTTCCGAGGAGAAAGCGAACGCACCATTAGCTGATAACAATGGAAGCTAACATATCAAGCTAACGTTATCTTAAACAGTTTATTTAGCTGCTGGAGCAGATTAAAACAATGATGCCTCACACTTAGATCATTGTCACTGGTTTCATCTTCACCCAATCACATTTAGTAAAGTGAAGCCAAACTTTAGAGCGCACTCATGTTCTTCTAGTTGGAAAATCGGAGTTCCGAGGAGAAAGCGAACGCACCATTAGCGGAACGGAAGCTAACAAATCAAGCTAACATTATCTTAAACATTTTATTTACCTAGCAGAGCAGATTAAGATGAGGATGTCTCACTTAGATTGTTGTCGCTGGTTTCATCATCACCCAGTTACCCATCACATTTAGTGAAGTGGACCCAAGCTTTAGCGTGCGTTCTTTCTACCATGCTGCTCTGTTCACAACTGGCTCGCAGCGACCGACGACATGACGCTCTTGCGCATGCGCAGCTGTCTAGGCAAGTTCTTGTTATGAAGGACGGGTACCGAAACGAGGCACCGTTTCAAATGACGTGAATCGGTGCTCAGTCGGTACTATGAAATTCGGTCGGTACCTTAAAAAGTACCGAATTCGGTACCCATCGCTACGTGTGTCTCACCTTGATGCACGAGGGAATGCAGGTCCAGGTCTTTCCTCCGTTTGAAGGGTTCTCCACACTCTGGACAGGGGAACGGGTGACTGGTGTGCAGCAATCTGTTCAAATACACACAGTTTTAAAAACACAAAGACATAAGTAATCGGAAAATGTGGAGATAATTATAGCACAGATGATGTAGCAGCTCTAAATGCAACAGTCAAATCTGGATTTTTTCATCCATGCTGGCTGTCTACGATCAAGTCGTTCCGGTCAAAACCTTACCTGGACTCAGTATTCCAGGCGTTTATTACTGGATCGCTGTAACTCACTGCATGCATGCATCAGAAAGGCTCTCTTTCAAGGCTACAGATGGTTCAAAATTCAGCGTCCAGATTCTTGACCAGGACCGTTTTAGCCTTCCTTCACTGGATCTCGGTTCGTTACCCGAACGGTTTTTTAATTCTTGGTTTGAAAGTTTTGCACAGATGCGCTCCGGGTCACTAGTCTGACCTTTTGAACCAGTATGCACCAACATGCGCCCTCCGGTCAGCCGGACAGCGTCTGCTGGTTGTTTCTATGGCAACGCTGAGATTGAGGAATTGTTTTGGTCTTGGGTCCAAGTCTGTAAAAAGACCTACCACCAACTACCAGACAAGCTCCTACGCAGAACGTCTTCAAAACTAGATTCAAGGCTCGTTTTTACTCTTTAGCCATCTTGCAATCTGAGAAATGATAAACACTCATTGATCTACTTTTCAGAGTTTTTATATTACCTTCTCTGCTGTATCTTATCTTTTTTATTGCTTTTACATGGATGTTTTAAGCATTTTAGTCAATGTTTTTCTGATTTAAGTTAATGTTTTCATTATATATTTTTGTGTAAAGTGATTTGGTAAAATATGAATAATTATAGTACAAGTTAAAGTTCCAAATTATAAGAACAAAAAGGCAAATATTTGCATTTTATTTAGGAATTTAGAAAAATTAAACTGCTAAATTAGGGACTCATGAAAGCTTTGATAGAAGTCATGTTTTGCTTTTGTGCTGCCAATGTACACTGGTGGGAGGATTACCAGCAAGTATGTACTTAGCAGTACTCCAGCTCAAATAAGGGGTATTAGCGGAGTGTTTAACAGCTAAAGATAAAAGAACAGCAGTAAATTGGGAGAAATCGGAGTTAGAACATGAAAGACTATATTTATCTATTGCATAACGTTGTGATGAGTATAGCCTAAGGGGAGGAGAGAAGTGTCCGGGTGTTTTCACCTAATGCTGCTTTCACAGAAATAAAAATCCTGCAGCAGTTACTCGTAATCAGAATAAGCTCAGGTGAGGTTTTAGAAACACTGTCCTTCTACAAATGTTACGTGCAGATAAGAGCGTGCACACATCGTCCTGCATTAAATCTGTTTTAGTCACGCTTACTGCTGATCCACACGCAGAATGCTAAAGGTCTCTTTTTCTGTCACTTATTAAAAGACAATAGAAATCAATATGAGGTACAGCTGACCCTGATGCTGCTGAAAGACAGACATTAGAGTAGGTGTACATCACCTGAGACCACGGATGTGTATTGTTGAAATTCTGGCGATACGATACGATATATCACGATACAGGGGAGACGATACGATATATCACGATATATTGCGATACATTCTGTCAGACGTAACTTACAAGCAGTTGTTTTTTTACTGAATTTATTGTAAGAATGTTCAATAAACAGTCCAAACTGATACGTAACATGTTTAACATGAGGTATCTGAACCATGATGGAGGGATTTACATTTCAATGGTGGAAACAAAACCCGTTGCACACTGCTGCCAACTAGCGGGTGGCGATTGAATTGCACAAAACGAAAAGAAAATACACAAATGTTTGCATGTAAATTCTTTAAAAAAATAGATACACAGCTTTTGAATATCGATGTAATAGTTTCAGGAAAAAATATCACGATATATTGCCATATCGATATTTCCGATACACAGCTTTTGAATATCGATATAATATTGCTGGGGGGAAAAATCACAATATATTGCCATTTCGATATTTTCTTACATCCCTACCTGAGAACAAAAGTTTATATAATCATTTAATTTATTTATGGCAAGTTCTCTTTTATTTGCTTTCCTTAATTGTAGAAGTAATGTGATCTGAATGTAGTAGTGTGCAGATTTTTTATTTTATTGCTGGTACTTTATCCTTATTCCTGTTTTTTTTTACCCCCCACATCTGATACTTGGCACACCCTGTCCTGTCTCCCTGTTCGATTCAGCCTTGTGTCTCGTTAATTACTCCCACCTGCCTCTTGTTTTCCCAATCACCTTTGCTACCGGTCCTCCTGTATTTAAACCCTTTCTGTTCTGTGTCTTGTGTCGGTTCATTGTTTCTTTGTCCAGCGTGCGTGCTAATAAATCAGTATAAAGAAGTCCTACCTGTCTGCCTGTTTCCTCCCCGGTCTGGATCCTCGCCTTTCCTTGGCTTACTTCACCGGCACGCATGACAATACTAGATCTTTCTTACATAGTAGGCTGTGAGACCGGTTTTATTGTTCTTCTGTTTATATCTGTTCCTATTATAGATCGTTAATCTCCTGATGTGTTTTAGCATGTTGTAAATCTTACAGTATGATTTTATGTGGGTTTTATTGTTTTTATTGATTTTAAATGTCTTGTTCAGCACTTTGGGTCATCCTTAATTGGATGAATAAAAGTGTTATAAATCAAGGTAATGATGTATGATTTGTCTGCTCCTGTATCTTAGAAGAGCATTAGAAACATAAAAAACATGTTGTGGTTTTTGAGATTTTAGTTTATTTAGCAGAAATTTTGATGTTAACGTACGCTGTCCTCTCAGCACGTAGCGATGTGTAGCTAGGCAGCAAACAAGCTCTAAAACAAGAGTCTTCACTCAAGACTTGCTTTTCTGATCTGAAGATCTTTATAAATGTGTTATCACCATGGCTAGCTGCAATATCCAGGCCCTTCGCAAAAAAAATTGCATATTTTGATAAAGTTAATTATTCTCTGTAATGTACTGATAAACATTAGACTTTCATATATAGTAGATTCATTACACACAACTGAAGTAGTTCAAGCCTTTTATTGTTTCTAATATTGATGATTTTGGCGTACAGCTCATGAAAACCCAAAATTCCTATCTCAAATAATTAGCGTATCATGAAAAGGTTCTCTAAACGAGTTATTAACCTAATCTTCTGACTCAACTAATTAACTTTAAACACCTCCAAAAGATTCCTGAGGCTTTTAAAAACTCCCAGCCTGGTTCGTTACTCAAAACCGCAATCATGGGTAAGACTGCCGACCTGACTGCTGTCCAGAAGGCCATCATTGACACCCTCAAGCAAGAGGGTGAGACACAGAAAGAATTTTCTGAACGAAGAGGCTGTTCCCAGAGTGCTGTATCAAGGCACCTCAGTGGGAAGTCTGTGGGAAGGAAAAAGTGTGGCAGAAAACGCTGCACAACGAGAAGAGTTGACCGGACACTGAGGAAGATTGTGGAGAAGGACCGATTCCAGACCTTGGGGGACCTGCGGAAGCGGTGGACTGAGTCTGGAATAGAAACATCCACAGCCACTGTGTACAGGCGTGTGCAGGAAATGGGCTACAGGTGCCGCATTCCCCAGGTCAAGCCACTTTTTAACCAGAAACAGCAGCAGAAGCGCCTGACCTGGACTACAGAGAAGCAGCACTGGACTGTTGCTCAGTGGTCTAAAGTACTTTTTCAGATGAAAGCAAATTTAGCATGTCATTCGGAAATCAAGGTGCCAGAGACTGGAGGAAGACTGGGCAGAGGGAAATGCCAAAATGCCTGAAGTCCAGTGTCAAGTACCCACAGTCAGTGATGGTCTGGGGTGTCATGTCAGCTGCTGGTGTGGTCCACTGTGTTTTATCAAGGGCAGGGTCAATGCAGCTAGCTATCAGGAGATTTTGGAGCACTTCATGCTTCCATCTGCTGAAAAGCTTTATGGAGATGAAGATTTCATTTTTCAGCACAACCTGGCACCTGCTCACAGTGCCAAAACCACTGCTAAATGGTTTACTGACCATGGTAGTACTGTGCTCAATTGGCCTGCCAACTCTCCTGACCTGAACCCCGTAGAGAATCTGCGGGATATTGTGAAGAGAACGTTGAGAGAAGCAAGACCCAACACTCTGGATGAGCTTAAGGCCGCTATCGAAGAATCCTGGGCCTCCATAACACCTCAGCAGTGCCACAGGCTGATGGCCTCCATGCCACGCCGCATTGAAGCAGTCATTTCTGCAAAAGGATTCCCCACCAAGTATTGAGTGCAAAACTGAACATAATTATTTGAAGGTTGACTTTTTTGTATTAAAAACACTTTTTTCTTTTATTGGTCGGATGAAATACGCTAATTATTTGAGATAGGAATTCTGGGTTTTCATGAGCTGTATGCCACAATCATCAATATTAGAAACAATAAAAGGCTTGAACTACTTCAGTTGTGTGTAATGACTCTGATATATATGAAAGTCTAATGTTTTTCAGTACATTACAGAGAATAATTAACTTTATCACAATATGCAAATTTTTTGCGAAGGACCTGCATAGAAATAGAAATAATACATTACTAATACACACATCTTGCCTAGGGACTACAGGTGAAAATTAGCATCTTTGCTATATCCTATTACAATACAACTCCTTTACAGTGAATGTTAAATCTGTCCCTGTTTAAATACACTTCTACTACTACATAGCATCACGCCTAGGGAGAATGTGACTCAAGATGCTGTTGGAGGCTAATTAAACATGGCACTATTCCTATTACTGACTTAAATTGAAGTAGTTGTATTTTTAAAATGTACATATGCATGATGGGGGATAGGTGATGTTAGCAACCTAAAATGTTTTAGTTTTTTTTTTTTGAGAGGGAGACGGCATAGATGAGGTATCAAGAGTCAGACACCACCAGTTTCTGGGTAAAAAAGCCAACATTGAGCACCCCTAATGTACATACACTCACTGGCCACTTTATTGGGTATGCCTGTCCAACTGCTTGTTAACACAAATTACTAATCAGCCAATCACACGGTGGCTACTCAATGCATTTAGGCATGTTGACATGGTCAAGGCGATCTGCAGCAGTTCTAACCGAGCTGCAGAATGGGGAAAAAGGTGATTTAAGTGACTCTGAACGTGGCGTGGTTGAGACGGGCTGGTCTGAGTATTTCACACACTGCTGATGTTCTGGGATTGTCAAGCACATCCATCTCTATGGTTTACGGAGAATGGTCCAGAAAAGGGGAAACATCCGGTGAGCAGCAGTTCTGCGGGCAAAAATGCCTTGTTGATGCCAGAGGTAAAGGTAAACATACCCTTCAGTGCCTTTCAGATTTATCTGATGCAATAAGAATCTATGCCAAGATCTTTGTTGATTAAAAGCCCTCATAGATCCTTAATATCAGTTCACACATCAGATGAATTACTGCCACTAAAACTGAAGATCATAATCTCACCCAAGCAAAGCTGCATTGCCAATTCACCCCCCCTAAAAGGAACAAGCATCAGTTTAAATTGTTTAGTTTAAGCCTAGATGCAAGAAATTCACCCTTTAGTCAGCAAAACCACACCCCTAATGAGGTTTCCACAGAGGAACCAAAAGTTAAAGCGTCTCGCGTTAGTTTCAAGGCTGCTTTGGCTCTCTGCTGGGATTAGGACTCCACACGAAGACAATCAAAACTCCAGATGATTAAAGCAGCTCTTGGGCAGGCTTTAATGTCGTGTTCGGGGCTTTTGGCTCTTCGGGAATGTTGATTTAAAAGCAGGTGATTAGATTTAACTATTTTTTTGGTTTTGTTCCAACAAAAAGGTATAAAGTCATTATTTTTATCACGACACTTTGCACTCATTTACAGACATACTTTAGTGTCGTCATTCTCTCCATTCTTAAGCGGGGTAGGACAGGTTTGTCCACCGTCCTGCGTTGGTATCGTTGTCATCTTAATTTACCGAGCCTCCGGTTGTCAGTCATATGCGGCAAAGGCTCAAGGGCACGCAGATATCTGTGCTTAAAAGTCTAGCTCAGTAGTCGAACGCGGCTCGGCTGTTACAGCTCCAGCTGAGAGGAAGAGAACTTATCTAAATCCTCTCCTGGGTTTTATACTTCTAATGCATTCATGTGGTAAACAGCTGCAAAATGACCGAATACAGACAACCGATTTAAATGTTGCACCCACCCCTTCACCCCTCAAAACATCCACAAACACTAAAATCCTTAGAAATAAAGACAATGTATCTGCAGGTTTAAGGGAGCCAAATTTAAGACTTTTTAAGACTTTTTTAAGGCCACTTGGACCAAATTTAAGCTATTTTTAAAATTAAATTTAAGTCGCGAACGTGGGATTAGCATCCAGTTACCATTAAACTTGCAATTCCCCATGGCGCAAGCTCCCGCTAGCTTAATCAGCTAATGTGCTCATTTAAAAATAGCCCCCTTTCACAACCAACTGAATGTGTATGGTTTCACTTACGGCAACATCGTACACAAAAAATGCTGAACACCAAGTAGAACATTCACAAAAATTTTATAGATATAAAAGAATCTTGTTTACTGGGTCTTTGGTAATTTAAGACCTTTGGAAACTGTATTTAAGGATTATTTGTAATTTTTAAGGATTTTTAGGGCCTTAAATTTGGAAATGCTAATTTAAGACTTTTTAAGACTTTAAGGACCTGCGGATACCCTGTAAAGATGTCTGTAGGGTGTTTTTACTTGTGATGGTTGAGCTGCTCCTCGTTGCTGAATCGTGAAGGACAGCTGGGACACGAGTAGACATGAGCAGCTCCTTCAATGTCCAGATTGTACACCTGTGAGAGGATCAGCAAAAAACACATTTCCCAAAAACTCATCTGAAGTGTCTCTCTCAAGAAACAAAACTTTTCCTAAAGTTGCCGACGAATGATTTTCAGATGCAGCTGAAGGATGGTGGCGATTAGGACGGCGTCCGTACCGGTTTGCGTCCCCTCTTGCGCGGCGGCTCCGTGGACGTGTGAATGCGTTGATGTCGTTTCAGAGTGGCGGCCTGGGAGAAGCTTTTACCACAAACGTCACAGCAGAAGGGCCTGGTGCCTGTGTGGTTCATGCTGTGTCGCAGCAGACTCTGGGAGTTGGTGAACGACTTTGAGCACACCTACACAACAACAATCAGGATGAGTGCCGTGGCTATATTTACTGCTGCTTTAATTCATACAGTCAACAAAAAAGATACTTTGGAGCCGCGCTGAATGTTAAAATTCAAACGGCTCGTTTTTTTCACAGCGATGCATTAAATCTTTGTACTGCACTGAGACTGGGATTCGCCTTTTCCATTTTATAGCAGAAATCTCTGCAACGAGACAAAAGTCTCGTTTCTGTTTCAGCATAATTTGTAATTTGTTCACACAAACCCAGACCTTGCAAGCTGCTCATCCGCGCTTGTTCATATTCAAATTTTATAAAATTCGATTCAAAGACGCTTTATTAAAGCGACCCAACTGCTCGAAGACGCCAGGGAACCTGTCAGATATAATGAGCCTGGGGGCTCAAATTCTGTCAGCCTCCACTTAGAAGTGTTACATCATCCCATCAAAGCCAGCCACACAATATAAATGATCTTTACATCAAAGCAAATCGTTCACATCCAGAAAAGGCGACACTTTGATTAGGTTTCCGAGCGGCACCTTGCATGTGAAGAGTTTTTCTCCGGTGTGGCTGAAGACGTGCGTGCGGAGGAAGACCCGTCGGGTGAAGGTTTTGCCACAATAGGGGCAAACGTGGGGGAGTGGTGTCCGGGCCCAGTCCTGCAGCAGCTTGGCAGGCGGGGGGTGGTTGAGGTTGTCCGGATCGGCTGAAGTGCCACCCTCCGATTCATCTTTAGAGCCTGAACTTTTGTTTCCTGAACACAGAAAATGTGCTTTTAAGCTAAACTTAGTAAGGTAAACGTCGTGTTGCGTACATTTATAAAGACTTCCACTTACCTTCCAGGGGGTTGGCGCTCACGATCCTGAAAGCTGGCTTGCCTCTTTTAGGAATGGAGGACACAAATTCACCAGCAGAGGGAGACAGCAGCCCTTTTGCGGTTTTTGTTGCATCTTCGCACTCACTGGTAGTTACTGCATCCACAGTCGCCGCCCCATCCGTCACCTCTGTCCTGGTCGTGAAGCGGTGATGGCGCCAATGGTATAGGTACTGAGTGGTGTTCATGAAGGTCTCGCCGCAGTAGGAACAACAGTGGAGGTGTTTATCCAGGTTGTGCTTCTGTTTACGGTGTGCAGCCAGCGCTCTGTCGTCGCTGAAGTCCGTCCCACAGAGAGTGCAGAAGTACAGCTCGGGTTGTGTAAAGGTGGAGGTCATGGCGCCGGGTGAAGGCTGCGTGTCGTTTCGGTTTTTCTGGCTATATACCTCAGAAACCATCACCACCGTTTCCTCGCCTTTCTGTCGATGTTGTTTGCGGTGATAGAGGAAGAGTGTGGTATTCAAGAAGCTTTCTCCACACACGGTGCAGCGGTGCAGGGCTTCCTCAAAGCCGTGTTGAGTCTTGCGGTGGGTGACGAGCTCAGAAACCATCCCGAAACACAAGCCGCAGTCCACACACAGCAGCACCGCTTCAGGTTTAGGCTTTTTGTTTACTCCTCTCCTTCTTGGAGACGAATCTTCTAAAAAAGACGTTGAAGCTGCCACTTCAGCTTCAGGACAGTCTGGGCCGGGAGGTGGAAACATCTGTGAAACCTCCTTTTCTGGTGCGTTTAGAGGGGTTTCCATCAGCTCAGGTACGAGATTGCTGCCACTTATCGGCTCGACCAAAGCAGAATCATCTGGATTTAAAGACATCGCCAAGCTTTCATCTGCGGTTTCAGGCTCATCGAGTGAATCTGGCATTACCTTGCTCTCAGCCGCCGCCTGGAGGCATGTCCCTTCTTTACGGTGAAGCTGCCACATATCAAGACTCTTGAACAGTTCGTCGCAATCCCCACACTGGTAAAGGATTCTGGGCTGGTCCGACGACTGCCACTTGGCCTCTGAAACATTGTCAAGTTCATTACTAATCTGCAGAGACGGATGTCCCACGTGGACTTCGATGTGTGAGACTGCATCCTGTGAGACTCCAATTTGTTCGGCTTCGTCCTCCAGGACTCCACTGGCCCTGGATAAATTTATTATATGTTGCTGCAAAGAGAAAAAAAAACATACATTTTATTTTCTGTGTTAGTGTGTAATAAAATTTTTCTTAAAAAAAAAAAAAATTGGCGTTTCAAGGGAATTCAGCCTGCAGCTGTTTGACTTTAAACGTGTTCTTTGCAGCATCGGAGGGATGAGAGTTCAATGTTGGGGGACAGAGGTCAATTTGAGCAGCATGTGTTTGAAACCAAGCTTCCACTGAGCAGAGATAAGGCCTCCGCCTCAATGATAACGATCAAAAGGCCTATCGGGGTTGAACGGGTCACTCCACAAGGTTTTACATTTACTCCATCCATCTATTTGGATGTTAGGGGAAAAAAACAACATCAAGGTCAAGGCTGGGGGAATCAGAGCCACCTCAATCACTTCAGTTCAACATGACTCACACAGTAATGACGTGTGTTGCAGTGGTATTCTGGTGTGTGTGAGTAATAGACCACCTTCAGATGTGGTCTGGCTGTTTCAATAGCCTCCTGATTGCAATTACAGCTTGCATTAACATACATTTTATCCTTTAAAAGATACAGATTACACGAGCAAATAAGTTACTGAACCGAACCAGCCATTACGGATTCACATTCAACTGTTCAATAGTGTTTTCTCTCAAACTTGGCTGGTCTGTAGCACAGAGAAATCTCTGTTGAAAACATTTTGTGTTTAGGAGTCTTCGTGGAGCTCAATCTCACTGAGACATAGTTCTGTTGTTGCCTGGGAAACTTTAATATGAATACAAAAGCTATTAGTCGTTATTGCAGCAAAGCAGGTGATTAAAGTAGGAGCCAGGTGAACAAAAATACAAACCACCTGCCGTGCCATCTGACAGCTCTACATAGGCGGTACTTCTTGTTTTAAGTGCATTTGACTCTGCTTAAATCAGGTTGAATATTTAATGGAGGTGCTGAAAAAAAATCGATTCAAGTCTGAATCGGGATTCTTATTTATAAAGGTTCAGAATCGATTCACAAAGGTTCAGAATCGATTCCAAGAACTCAAATATTTGGCACGTTACAGGTTTGAGATGCACTTTTTTGGTCTTTGTTAGGAGAGTCAGTACTCCGTTTACTTTTGTGCTCCCATAAACTGAGATGATTTATGTTTGAATCTGCTGATAAGAGGGCGCTTGAATGTTATTTTTTCCATACTCAGAAATTTGAGATATTCTCATATTTATTTTCTAAGTTGATAAATGAGTACTCAGGATTACTCATGTAACTTGTTTCCACACATACTTGAAAAGTATTTGACCGTATTACTTTCAAAGCTACTGTTAGGTAACTACAGATTTGTTATATTTTACAAGGTAAGCAAAAATAAATGTTGCCTTTTGGTCAAAAGATTGTTTCTGTTTACAGTTTTAGAATCACTTTATTTTACATTGTAAATTAGCATTTTTGGAGCACGACCAGTTTAAAGTCAAATTAAAATGTCCCATAGCTTTAACTAACTTGTACAACAAAGTAGTTCATCCTAGAACTGACACTCTTTGTTAACATTGATTGTGAATTGATTCAAATCGAGAATCGATTCTGAATCGAATCGACACCCAGAGAATCGGAATCTAATCAAATCGTGAGTTGCTCTAAGATTCACATCCCTAATATTTAACATTCATATGAAGTCATTTAATGCACATACTTCTTTAAGATGTCGTGTTTGTATTTTGCAGATAAATCCAGTTTTTAAAAAATGTCCATCTACTTGGGTTGAGATCAAATTTAATGTTAGGTTAGAATACGCTAATGTGAGTCGCTTTGAATAAAGGGGTCTGCAGCTATAAAAAAGTCTAACTGCACATGCAAGTGCACACAAAACAGAAAATTTATTTTTATGGAAAAAAAACTTGTTTGCTTAACTCATTCACTCGTCATTTGCATTTTTTTTACTGTGTGGGTGTCGGACGAGCCCCCGCACCGTGAGAACAAACATCTCAGCTCTAAAGCAGATCTTCATCCGCATACGTCACACGTCACATGATCAGGAAGCAGAAAATCCATGTGTTAGGAGATCGTTTTGAGCCGCTACTGTAAAAAAAAAAAAGTGAGGCGCGAAACGGAAAAGCATTTGCCGATCACAATTCAACAACGGATTATGAAAGAACGGATAACGCTCGAAACGCGCAGATTCTTCCTGATGTAAGAGGTGAGTCTCCGCTTTGTTTTGGTAGTTTGGGCGTTGACGTCATCCTAGCGCGCAATGTTCTGTGGCTCTTAAAAAAAACTGTAAAAATGGTGAGAAATGCTGGCAGCGACGGGCTTTACCGATCAGGAAACAGCTGGCAGCAAAAGAGTTAAGAGTCCTTTAACCCTCCCACTGTCTTCATGGGTGACCCAACTAGGAAAGTTGACCATTAAGCAGGGTTGATGGTTTATCTCTTGAAGTCCAAGTGGCGGGAGTGAGGAGTGAGCACCACCTCACCCCTGCCATGTGGTTAACCTTAAAAATCAAGGATATTAAATAACGAGAACACTGTTGGGAATGTTACTGCTATTCTAACAGATATGTTCCACTCAATGGTGTGTTTAGCCAGAGCAGCCTTTTCTTGCACAAGCCAAAAACTTTTCTGTCTTCTACTGAAAATATCTGATGCAGAATCAGCTTAAAGGGAAGTGAGTCATCATCACAGCTGAAGTCCCGTAGGGCCCAGACAATACTTCTGCAACGAGGGAAAGACTGACATTGACCAGTTTTATATAAATCGCATCGGCCAATATTCAACTTCAGTAGAGCTGATTTAAAGTCAGGCACATCCGTGGATATCCAGATAGAAAGTCTCAATATCAGAAATGAGGAGTTTTTTTTCTATGATGCTACTGCTGCTAAGTCAGGTTTACTAAATAATTTAATTTATGGTTCAGATGAAGATTAGTTAGGAATTATTTTTAAACAGGTCCTTCACTCATGTTTTTAATGCATTTGCAGTGATCTCTAGCAGGAGTGAGTGTCTTGTAAGTCGTACTGTGGGGCAAAAAGCTCCGGTGTGCCTGTTTAAAGAACTAGAAGCTAGCTAGATCAGAGCTGAGCTTCAGAAACAGGATTTACTGTTTCATTTCCTTATACTTGGACATCTCGCCGCTGATTGGCTAACAGCGACATGACTCTACCTCTGACTGTTTTATCTCCACAAATAACACAAACCTGGAGGAGTTCTGCAGAGTGGTGGAGTTGCTAATTCTAATTGTTATCTTCTACTAGTCAAGACGTTCTCTGCCGTCTCCTGGACGCTAAACCAACAACAGCCTTCCCCATCATGAGTCAAGATGGGTGAGTCCATGAATGTTAAGTGACAGTGTGACGTAGATGTGTCAGGATTTTCTAATCCTAGAGTTTCACCGTCTGTTTTCTATCAGAAGCTAATGCAGGAGATAGGTGAAGGAGACTATTTTCATGTTCAGCCTGCAGGAAACACTCAGACTGACCGATTATTTTCAAAAATAATTAATAAAAATTGGTTTCTCAGTGAAGGGCCTCTTTTAAAAACAAAGAAAGACTGAATGCACTTTAGATGTTGCTGCTAGCACTAATTTTATATATTTTATTTTTTATTTTTTCTGATACATTTTTATTTATACCCTAAAGTTGTATTCAGCTTATTTATGTGCATATCTTTGTTCTTGGAAAACATCTGCTTAATGCTCTAAAACATTTCTTTTTATTCAACCATTTTGTATTTTTAATACTTGTTCAGTTTATTGATTTGTTTGGTTTTGGTGAAATGTTTGATTTTAACAATGTGCAGTGTACAAAATTAGGATTAAACAGATGGTTCTATTCAGTGTTCAAAACCTGATTCAGATTAAGACACACTGGATTGTCTGTGACGTTTTATCACACAAATACGGTGGAAAACATCTAATATCAGCCATGAAATTCCACCCAGAAAAATTGGCATCTGCAACAGGAAACCCATATTGGTCAACCTTCTAAATGCACAATCTCCACAGATGAAGTGTACCATGTGAGAAATTAAATCATTGCTTTACATCAAGTTCACATAACGGGCATGAAGATTACGACAGCTAGAGCCATTTGAACACATGCAATAAAGCCGCTAATGACACAGCGTGGGCCAAGAAGCCACGAGGTACGCAGGTTTTTAGTGTTTCTGGAGCTGATTCATCTACGAAAGGGCCAATGAGCGATCCGTCAGGGGAAAGAGTGGCACCGACGGAAGCATTTCTCATGCCCCTCTTCCCTCTGGCGACTCAGGATGCAATCCGTCTGTCACAAGTGCCACTGTGCTTTATAGACGCACGTTTGAGACTGTAAAGGATGGAAGTCCGGGCACCGTCTCCGACAGCCCTTCCCCGCTGCAGAACGAGGGCCCATGACTGCTTTTAACCCTGAGGGCTTATTTTAGAAGCTGTCATAAGAAAGCAACAGAATAAAGAGCCATCTAACTCCAACAAGGCTGAATGCCATGTCCAGTCATGCCACAAAAACTAACACTACAGGCAAAACACAAAAGTAGGTAAAAACATGTCCCCCTCTGTGATTTTCTCTAGATTCACCCGTTTCTATCACTGCACTCAGAATTAAGTTGTTCCTTTGTTATTAATATGACTTTATTTGTTCCACATCGACTAAAATGTTTATGTTTATGTTTATTCAATTCGCAGACGCTTTTATCCAAAGCGACGTACAAGTTTTTTTTTTTTTAATAACCTGTAGGGCATGTTGTGATGTGTGGGGGAAACCAGAGTACCTGGAGGAAACCCACGCATGCATGGGGAGAACACGCAACTCCACGCAGAAAGGCGAGTTTTGAACCTGCGACCTTCGTGCTGCGAGGCAACAATGCTAACCACTGCGCCACCATGCAGCCCATGATGAATCCATAATCATTCTAGTGCCAGCATTGCCACACATCACCCCTGTTTACACCATTAGTGACTCATTATTCTGATAAACTATGTACTCATCTGTCACACTGCCTCTACTTAGGGCAAAGAGCAGCACCGTGTAGATCTGTACTTTAAATATTTGGTGGCATTAATGCATAACATTTGTCGTTTTATCAAGGTAACTGTTGGGGTCTGAAAACTAATACAGTTAATTACCAAATTACTCCTAGACTATGTTTGTACATAAACGTTCTCCGGTGTAAACAAAAATGGGGACATTTAGAAGGTCATGACAAATTTAAATGAATAATTATTTAAAAAATAACAGCAAATATTAGCAAGATTCTGATTATTTGTTAATTAAAAGAGGAAATCTCATCTTAACAAGTTACAGCTCTAATTTACCACTAATAATAATAACAAAAATAAAAACAACAACAACAATAATAATAACTAGTGTTGTCAAAAGAAAATCAATACCTAGATATTAGGGCTGTAGCGAAGCCTCGACGAAGTCGACGGCTCGATTCTAAAAATTTGTCGACGTCAGATCCGGAAGTCGACGCACCGCGCCCACTTGTTGCATCCCCAGGAATTTGTAAATAGAGGAAGAATCTGCCTGTTTTTCCTCTAGTTCGCCCTCTTCTCCGCCTTCACTAACATCTCCGCCAAATACCGAAGACCCGGAACAACGTCCGTCCACTACTAGATTATTTTCCTGTTTTGCCCGCCTTCGTCTCCCGGCAACGGGCAACAACTTCCGGGGTCAGATGCGCTGCTTCGTGTCTATCGCAGATGTAGAAAATCACCGGGAGCGCTTCTCCCTTCATTAAGGAGCTTCTTTCAGACATGAGGAGAGCTGTTTTGGTGGTAGCAGTCTCTCCTCCGTGCTGGTCTGTTTGCTGCTGGGTGTTTTTGGTTTATTTAAACTTGGTAACTTGAACTTAACGTTGGTAAAGCTACTGTTAGCATCTTCGCTAACAGCTTCTTGCGTTTGGATAAGCTGTTATGTTTTGGTTTAGAGTTCATCTTTTTTGTGGTGTAGATCTCCCTTTTATTACATTTAGAGTGTTGTGGGTTTTCGGTTTAGTGTAAAATATCACCTGAGTTTGGTTTAACCCGTAAGACCACTCGCCTCAGGCACATAAGTGACCAAAACAAAGCAGCATGGAGACACTCCATCTTCTACCACCTCTCAGGCAGCAGCCTGCACTCCCAAGTTCTACACGTCACCAGAACATAACCAACCGCAACACAATAAACGCAGTGTTATACAAAATGGAAGGCCTGTAGTGTTTATTCTCTTACAGTAAGAATTTATCAATTTTTTTGAGGAATTTATTTGAGATTTTCTGGTTTTTGTTAATTGTGCAATAGAAAAATAATCATTAGATTAATTTTCTAAATAGTCATTAGAATAGTCGACTATTCGATAAAATAATCGTCAGAATAATCGTTTTAAAAATAATCGTTTACCCCCAGCCCTACTAGATATAAATCGATACTAAAAGTGGTATCTAAATTAGATATTCCATCCCTGTGGTATCGATATTATGGACTATTATACACAGCCTTCTTCAAGTACACCGACACGCACGACAGCCAGATGCCGTAAAGCAGCCTTCGCCTCCCGGACAAACAGAAGAAGAAGACGCCGCATGGCTACATTGCAATTTCCCATTTTTTAATGATGTCACTGCCGTGCGCCAATCTGTTTTTATTAAGATTAGATGTACCTTTGTCCTACTGTGGAAAAATTCGTTTTCTCCCTTTATTGACCAACAGAGTTGCTCAAAAGTACAGAACAAAACATATGGCATTACATCTTATGACAAAAATGCAACTTAAACAGAGTTTAAGCAGCAAAACATCACTCTGCAAATAATGTATATACAGTGAGACAATTCATGATTTAAAGTGTTAACTTTCGCCAGTTTTTGTATGCACGTTTTAAAAAAATGCCGATACTTGACAGGTTTAAGCACTTTATACACTTAATTCTTAACATTTAATTTTTGCAATATGAATTGAGGAATGTTATTTTATGAATAAACTTGTTCAATAAATTGGTGTTTTTAAATAGTATCGAAATCGAGTATTTATTCAAGTATCGAATCGAGTTTGAAATTTTAGTATCGTGACGACCCTAATAATAACCATAATAATAATAATAATAATAAAGAACCTTTTGAACTAACTCAGGATGGTTCGAGGGTTCAGATTTGGTTGCTTAGAGCACATTAAGGCATGTAAACCATCTTGGACCAGACCGAAGACACCTCCTGATCTAATATGATCAGCATGAAACTAAATTTGTGAGTGTTTTTGTTTAAAAAATAAAATAAAAAGTAGACTAAAAAATAGGAAGTCGCCCACTTAAAAAGACTTGAGAATATTCAAGACATTTTTGTCAAGTTACCCCGAGCTTTTGACCGCACGTAATGTAATGGACACATTTTCCCAGCGCGTCTCTGCCCGTCCGAAGCATTTCAGACGAGCATCTGCAGCAAAAGCGCTCCACACAGCTGTAAATGTCCTTCAAATTATTCTCTTAAGTGTTGGTGCTGCTGTAATTTCCCCAATGTGAGATCAATAAAGTCTATTCTATTCTAACGCAAGATCACAAACTCACAGGAGAACTGCAAGATCACGTGTGATTTTGGCAGTTCACGTAATAACAAACAAGGAGGAAGACAGCAGTATCTATCAAAAAGGCCTGTTGTTTACTTTCTGTTCTTTTTACCTCGGCCACAGAAGCGTCACGGGTAGGGCTGGGCATCGTTTGATTATGAACGATTCCAATTCCAATTCCTCGTTTCGATTCCGGTTCTTATTGATTCTCGATTCTTTCAAGGCATGACATGCTTTACATGAGCCAGCTAACCACAGGTCCTACTTGAGGAAATAATCTCAACTTTAACATGAATTTTTAATTCTATGAACAACAACATCACCTTCATTTAGACAAAAACATGTTTTGGAGAAAAAAGGAAAAAGACTTGCAGCCCAACCAGTGTGTTTGTTTCTGACCACAACCAAAGTCTGGAAGATGCCTCTGGGATGAGAGGCTAAATGTCTCCAACATATCCAGAAACGTCCAGCTGTTTTCAGCTAAAACTCTCAGGATGATCATGTCCAGGATGACTGAGAACTACACCTCCATGCTGCAGCAGCTTCAGTCAGAACAGAAACGTAGCTGCTGTCAGTAACAATCTAACAGGTTTAAACATTAAAACTCAACAGAAATAGTTCAGAAAGGAAATTAAAATGTTTACAACTTTGTGTGTGATTTATTATTATTATTATTATTTATCGTGGCAGAAGCTGGTGTGGTCCACCACAGAGAAGCTGCTCTAGCATGATGGCTTTAATTATTCTACAGGTTATTGTTCAGCCTTCTGACGCTCACACACACACACACACATACACACACACACAGAGTGTTGGTGAGCGGCTGCGTCTGACTGCTGACGCTCCGTGTGTGTTTTTATTTCTGCAGTGAGACAAACTCACCTCACACCGTCCAGAGTTTGTTCTTTAAAGCTTCCATTAAATCCACCATGTTGACGTTTTTTAACGAGTTTTCTCTACGCTGCAGGAGTAAGTTTACATTACGGAGTAAAAGGTCGGCAGACGCATTTGTTTATATCTGGGTGGAGGGAGGGGGGACTCGGTGCTGCGCACAGACAGCTGGTGTGATCAGCTCTGAAAAGCGATGATCACAATTTGCAGATCACGTTTTTTTTTTTTTTCCACGGAGATCGGCCGCGGATTCCTCTTCCGGTCGGCATTCTAGGACTCGAAATAAAAGCTGTTGAACGATTCCGGGAAAAACTAACAGTTGGTCCCGGTTCCTATCGATGCTCAACCCTAGTCACGGGTAATGGCGTTTTTGTTGTATTAGTTAAAGGAGCGTGATGTAAGAATGACTTCCTGTGGTCGAATTTGGGTGCCACAGTTCATGTTTCGTCTTTCTTGTCGCACTTTTATGTCCCCCAAATATATCTTCATCAACTGTGCTTGCTTTGTGGAATGAAGGAAAAATTAATCAGTCGTAAAGCTGGTATGTCTCATACCATCTTTA